CCACCTGGTTACCCTCGGCTGCGATTTGGAGCGAAGTAAGAAGGGCCACATCAAAAAGCGACGGGGTAGGCGCCGGGATTTGATGCGCGGGCGTCGCGTTCTCTGCAGGCGTCGCAAGGCCCCCCCAAGAGAAAGGTTCTCCATCGGAGAGATCTACACGCTACACGGCGGGGGCCAAGCCTGGTCTTCGCTTCGGCAACGCGACTGCCGGCATGAGTGACGCCGAACAGAAGCGAGCGCGAAGTGCGATGTGTTCGTTCCAGGCCCCGAGGCATGCTGCGGTTTCGTTGTGGGCCAGGACGGCGCGTCTAGGAGACCCCGTGTGGAGGAGCATGGTGGCCCCTGCTCCGGCGCGGTCGCATGCGGCGCGGGCTGCCGCGACGCGGCCAGAGCGCGCGTTGTTCTCGATTCAGGACATGCGCAGCATGTGGAGGACCGTCCAGCCCACGGCCATGCTTGGGCTACAATTAAAGGCCCGATCAGCCGCAAGCACCTCTCCCTTCAGCGCATTGGGGGGGGGGGGGGCCCTACACCCCCCCCGACTGGCGCGATGGTAGTGGCGTGGAGAAATCCATGCTTTACACCGCCCCCTCCATGGTCGGACATCGGTTGCGCCTAGGCGCCCAGCGACATCACGAGAGGGCGTTGAGTAAAAAGCTTGGTTAGGCCCCTGACGCCCGCGAGCGCGCGTGGAACCATTTCGGAGGATCACGAAACCAGGGTTTGAATCACACGGAACTTATCGCCGAGGGCAAGCACTTGGTGATGCCGCGTTTTTGCGAGGGGCTCTGGACGGAAGATGGGGCGCAAAGGCAGGGTGCATCACGCCAGGCCTCTGCCCGCTCTGCCAGGCGCCCGACTCGGTGGGACACAGGCTCTTCGGCAGCCAGCACGAGGAGGTTGTCGCGGCACGGCAGGCGTCGGGCGTGCCCGCGAGCTTTCCCGGGCGCGCCCAGAACGAGGGCGCGCAGCTTCTCGAGGCGCTCAAGTTTAAGCATCCAGCGGCCGACTGGCCCATGTTGCCGGATGAGCATGAGCCCGAGTTGTGCGACATGAGTGGTCAAAAGATTATGCGGGGGCAATTTGATGGTTCCACGCTGTGCCGCGCAGGGGGCGGCCCACGCGCGAGGCGCGCAATTCGCGAGCTCTCCGTTCGTGGATTTTCTTCGACGCGGAAGGGGTGCAGAGATACATAGCCAAATGAGTGGCCGAGCCCGCCCCACACGAGCCAAGCAGCTGACCACTTGCAACTGGCGTTGCTTCCGATATATGTCCCTAAGCAGGGGTTTACAGTGCATAGCGATCGTATTATTGCGGTGAAGTTTCATAACACGGAACCGCCAAGCCAGATGCCAGCTAAACAACGTTATTGAGTTTTGAGAAGAGGGGCCCTGCTCCGCATGCGGGATTTCGGGCATGCCCCAGCTGTTCACACCCCAGCCCATAGGAAGCTAGAAGACATTGAGCAGCTGCCCCCGCACGAGCGGTGGGTTGGCCAGGCCAACTGGCGAGCGGATCGAGAGGCCACAGGAGCTCTCGGCCTGCGCCCCCAGGCTTCGGCCGCCGAGTGGCAGCAGCTAGACCGTTCGATCGAGAGCCTCGAAGCGGCGGTGCGTCTCGTGGCGAATGTTTTGCGGCGCTTTCCGAGGATGCACCACCGGCGCCCACCGAGGCGCGAGCGTCCGCGCATAGTGACCGAGAAAGCGACGAGCTGGCACAATTGGGAGCCTTGGCTGCGGGCTCCAGGTGCGCCAAGAGTTTAAGTTTCTACGGGGGGAGGGGGGGGGCCTTCGGGCTCGGCCAGAAGTTGGATGCCAGGGTCTCTCCCGAAGTTTAACATAGCTCCTAGCAGATGCCCCCGACAATGGGCGCAAGCTAGCGAGCGCGCAGGTGGTAGGTGATGAAAAGTAGCCGTTCGTATGATGCATGACCCGCGGGTGTTAGTCACAAGAAAAGGCGCGCAATTTGGCAGCGACGCGTGATCCCAAGGAGCGCTGTGGAGGGGCCAATGCGTTGATTAGGTTGAAGCGAGGCCTGCGCCCCCAACGCAGTGCAGCTGCGTCCTGTGCCGCGCCAGAGAAGCCAGCCTCAGGTCCAGCTGCGCGCACCTTTGCCGCCGCTTCGCGGGTGCACCTTTTCCCGGCGAGCGCGGCTCCCGTCGGATGCCCGGCGACCATCCACGCTCGGATTGCCGAGCGAGAGACGGGGGGGCGGGTGGAGTCGGGGGCGGGGGGTGGCGCTGAGCACGCAGAGCTCCAGTGGCGCGGCCAGTGAGACCAGCGCCAGTGGAGCCAGCGGCGCATGATGATTTTGACATGGGAGAGGAGGCCGCCCTTGTTTTCTTCGGAGGGAGGGCCGAAAGCGAGCAGGTCAGACGCCCCGTGCCCGCTGCGAGCTCCTTTGATGTTTTGCGATGCGTGTCGTCGGCCCTCCGAGAAGAGGAGGGCGATGCGCCGCTGGCCCCGATGCCTCGCCATGACGAGGATTCTGGATCAGACGAACGCGGGGGGGGGGGGGGGGGTAGCTGGTGGGCCACGGGCTTGTCTCCTGGCTCTTGAGGAGGCGATCCTGCTTCCTCGCACTTCTCCTCCGCGGACAGCGAAAGGTTTTCGGGCCGCCAGTGTGGCCGAGGCCTGGGGCCTCTGAACTGCCTCGGCAAAGGGCGCCCCCCCCCCCGCAGAAAGATTCGTGCCGCGTCCCCTTGTTCAGTCCACGCGCGCGCCATGGCCCCGAAAGCCCCCCGCCGTGAGCGCCCCAATCCTCAGCAGCCCAAGCCGCCAGGCAAGGGCCGGCAAAGGGTGACCTTACTAGATCTCAACCTGTCCCGAAAGGAAGCCTGCGTCAACGCTTTCCAGAGCAGTGGTGGCGTCGTCCGAGCAGTCGCTGCATGCAGCGAGCGAGCTGGCTCATTTGCGCACTACCGACGTCGACATCGCATGCCAGCAGACCCGCTCCAACAAGCATCCTCTGCTGGACGAGCTGATAAAATTGCGTGGACATTTCAGGGTCAGCTTCAACTTGAACAAGTCGGGTTACAACCGTGACTCGCCAGGGTACACGACCCCGGCCGATGCCCACCAGGGCATCGACGCCACCCCACTCTTCAGCCTCGATGCACAAAACTGGGATGTGACGCCAGCAGCATCTCATTACACATGCGAGGGGAAGAAGACCGCCCCCTGTTGCACATCCGCCTGCGGGACAAACCCCGTGCCATAGCATGCGAACACCGCCAATCAGGCCTTCGGTGGAGCCCCCCACGGGGCCACGAGGCGCTGCGCTAGGCGCGGGAAACGCATGCGAACGCCGCCGCTGGGCCCTTCGGCGGGGCCCCCTTATGGGGCCGCGAAGCCTTCCATTGGGTGACGGACACGCATGCCCTACGGGGCCGCCGCGGAACGCGTTGCTGGGTGGGCGGGGGGAGGGAGGGAGGGGGGCGCGTGCGAACGCCGCCTTTTGGGCCTTCGGTGGAGCTCCCCGCGGGGGAGACGCGCGCCGCTTCCGGGGGCGTAGGTGGAGCTCTTTGTGGAGTGAAGAAGGCGCATGCGAACGCTTGGGGCTCGGCGGAGCCCCCTGCGGGGGCGCGCGCAAACGCCGCCGCTCGGGCCTTTGGTGGAGCTCCCCGCGGGGCCGCGAAATGTTGCGTTGGGCCCGCGCGAACGCCGCCTTTTGGGCCTTCAGTAAAGCTCCGCGCGGGAACCCGAAGCGTTGCGCTGGGCGGGGGAGACGCATGCGGACGCCGCCACTTAAGTCTTCGGTGGGGCCCCCTATGGCGCTGTGTCGGGGGGGGGGGGGCGGCGCATGGTAGACGAGAGGTCGCGGATTGCGCTCCATGGGCCAGAAACGTCGCCTCGACCCGCTGGACGAACCAGCGCCGCCGCACATCCCAACCCCCCGACGCAGTGCTTCCTGCCACCAGGAGCAGGCAACGGGGGCCAGGGGGTACCACTCGAAAGCTGGGCGAGGGCTGCTAAAACCGTGGCTGCTAAACGACCTTCCCGAAAGGCAAAAACAACTTCCCGGAATGAGGCGCGGCACGCGAAACAGTCAACGGGCTTCTTCCCGGAAGGACGAAGACAACTTCCCGGAGGTCGATTTTAGCAGCCACGGATTTGGCAGCCCTTGCCCGGCTTCCGAACCACCTGCCTGGGTGCAGACGCCCGAACCGTCCCAGGTGCAGCGTACCCACCGGCGCGGAGTGCTCTCAGACAGCGCCGCATCTCGGGGGTGGACAGACCTCCTACGTGATGGTCACGGCCTCCACGTGATCTTGTATCCTTCGCTGCGTGCCCTATGGAGAACACCTGGCAGCATGTTCCGCGGACCTGGCACCCGGCCGCCGAGGGGGACGCCCGAAGGCGGCGCCTTCTTTTCGCAGGGCACCGTGGCGCGCACGCCACGGCGCGTTAAAAGCCCGTGCCTCTGATTGCGCGGGGTGCAGACGAGCAGAGTCTCGTCGGGGTCCCCGTCGACCTCACCAAGGGGGAGAGGTTCCTTTTTGGCCCCCCCCTGCCATTCGGATGTGGCCCTGCCCGCCTTGAGACGTGCAGGCCGAGGGAGCTTGCATCCTTCGCCCGTGGATTTGACTTGGTCCGTACCGGTGCGCTCTCTGCAGAGAGAGAGAGAGAGAGAGAAAACAAAAAAACAGATACGAGAGGCAGAGAAAGAGAGAGAGAGAGGGGAGAGAGAGAGAGAGGGGAGAGGGAAAGAGAGAGAGAGAGAGAAAGAAAGAGGGAGGGACAAGGCAGGAGAGGGGAGGGAGAAGGGAGGAGGGAGAGGAGGGAGAGGGGATAGGGCAGAGAGGCATAAGGATGAGGGAATGACTCTCTCTCTCTCTTTCTCTCTCTTTCCTCCTGTCTCCATCCTCCTCTTCTTGTTCCTCGGCCTCCTTCTCCTTCCCCCCCCTTTCCTCGGCGTCTTCCCGCCCCCCCCCCCTCCTTGGCCTCATCCTCCCCCTCGGCCCTCGTTCGATGTGGGGCCTCGGCCCCTGTTGCCCTCAGGTCGCGCTGCGTTCCTACCTGGGGCTGGCGAGCGGCGACGCTTGCGAGGCCACGGCTGCTCCTCCCCCGGGCAGGGAGAAAGGGCAAAAGGAGCGACGAAGACGGAGGAGCAGGAGTGAGGAAACGGCGGAGGCGAAGCAGGCGGAGGAGAACCAGAGGGGGCCGGAGAGGCCGGGGAGGTTGAGGCAGACGCGGAGTTGAGGAGTTGATGGGATGGGAGTGCGAGGATGAGGAGGGGGAGAGGGGAGGAGGAGCAGGAGGAGGAGGAGGAGGAGGAGGGTGAGGAGGGTCAGGGCGAGTGGGGAAAAGAGGCAGGGGGAGATGGGGAAGTGAGGGGATGATGATCATGATGATGATGATGCTGATGATGATGCTGATGCTGATGCTGATGATGATGATGATGATGAGGATGATGATGATGATGATGATGATGCTGATGATGATGATGATGATGGTGATGATGATGAGGTTGATGGTGGTGATGATGATGTTGCCGATGATGATGTTGAAGGTGATGCTGATGGTGGTGGTGGCGCTGGTGATGATAGTGATGATGATGATGATGATGAGGAGAATGATGGTGCCGTTGACAAAGGTACGATGATGATGACGATGATGATTCTGGTGATGGCGATGGTGGTGATGATGATGACGGTGATGATGATGATGCTAATGATGGTGATGATGAGGATGCGGACGTGGATGAGGATGATGATGAGGGGGACGATAATGAGGATGGTGGAGATGAAGATGATGATGCTGATGATGTTGCTGATGTTGTTGATGATGTTGTTGATGATGCGGATACTGATGAGGATGATGATGGCACTCATGATAATGACGATGTTGATGACGATTTTGATGATGTCGATGATGATGATGATGATGATGATGATGATGATGATGATGATGATGATGATGATGATGATGCTGGTGATGGTGATGATGTTGATGCTTTTGACGATGCGTATGAGGATGATGATGATGATGATGATGATGCTGATGATGAGGATGGTGACGGTGATGGTAATGATGATGAAGATCATGGTGATGATGAAGGTGATGATGGTGATTGGGGTGTTGATGATGGTTCGGATGATGATGATGATGATGATGATGATGATGATGATGATGATGATGATGATGATGCTGATGCTGATGCTGATGATGATGATGATGATGATGATGATGGTGGTGGTGGTGGTGATGATGATGATGATGCTGCGGATGCTGATGATGATGATGATGATTACGATGCTGGTGTTGATGATGCTGACGATGTTGATGCTGATGCTGATGATGCTGCTGATGATGATGATGATGATTTTGATGATGTTGATGCTACTGATGATAGTGATGCTGATGATGACGATGACGATGATCATGACGGGTTTTGGATGGATGGGGAGCAGGATGAGTAAGAGGGAGGAGGGAGGAGGAACAAACATTTGAAGTGGTGGGTTGGCGGAGGCGTGGACAGAGACAAGGATGCTTACCAGGAAAGGCGAGAACGGTGCCCAGGGGGTTGAGGAGGGGGATGAGGAGGACGAGGACTAAGAATTGGATGGCGGAGGAAGAACAGGAGGAGGAGAAGGTGTACGGGACGTAGACGAGAAGTGGAGTGAAGGAGGAGGGAGGAGAAAGGAGGACAGACGGAGCTGAGACGGGAGGAAAGGGAAGGGACCAGGGGGGAGACGGTATGTGTCGAGGATGGGGAGGGGGAGGTTGAGGAGGAGTCGGCGCACGGGGATTAGGAAGAGGCGAAGGAGGTGACCATTTGGGGGAGGAGACGGCAAAGTGAGAAGAGGATGGCGAATCGAGGACGAGGAGGATAAGTGAGGAGGCAAGGAGGAGGCAGAGGAGGAGGAGGAGGAGGCAGATGAGGAGGAGGAGGAGGAAGAGGAGGGGAAGGCCTCGACGGAGCAGTAGGCGAAGGGAAAGAGCGAGAAACCGAGGGGGAGGAGGCGGGCTGAGGGTCTCTTCGGCGCATTCTGACAAGCCGTACGCGCGCGCCGCTGCCAGAGCAAGAGGCTCGCGCCGTTCCTGCCCAATCACTTCCGATGCCGCCCGGCCTCTCCCCAGCCGTGGCCGTGGCCCCACCTCGGCCGCCAAGGCAGGGCTCTGCTTGCGACGTCGTTCCTCCTCAATGCTCTCGTTCTTTTGCGCCTGCCTGTTTTCCCGCTCCTGCATGCTGGCCAACTCGCTACAACGGTGCCCCCGTTTAGTTAGCCCCCTCCGCCAGCGCAGACGACCCTGCCTAGCCGCCGACGCAAAAACTGTTTTGCTTGCTGCTAGCGGTAGAGATCTATCCGAGCCACGCCCCGTTGGGGGACGAAGCTTCGAGGACGTTCTCGCCGGCTCTCGGGGGCCGTCCAGCCTCTGGATTCTCCCCAGCAGCTGCGCCTCGCCGGGAGCTTTCTGAGGGTGCCTGGATCGTCCCGAACGGCATCGGGGAAGCCGATCGATGGCCCGATTACCAAGGGGGGGATACAGTCGATCCGCGTAGTAAGGATGATCGACTTTTCCAAGGGTGCTCTTGCATCCATCCCCCTTCGGCCCATCCTTTGCCGCTTCCGCTGGCCGCGCCCCGCCCGCAGAGTGTCGACATGGTCTTCCAAGGCCTTTGCATCCTTAGTTAGGTATCGCGCATCCTTTTCACACGGGTTGATTGTAGTCGGTCTCTCCTTGGACTTACGTCGGGCTTGTTTTTCTACAGGAGGAATATTTCAAAAAGAGTTAAAACGAATAGTATGGGGACGATTGTTTGCATTACTTTCTGAATATATTGATGTTGTTTTTGACTATTTTTCATTCTTCCTCCAAAACTCGCCTGTAGGGGGACATACCCGACCTAATCCTGGACCCCCTCCCCCCCTCGGTCTTGGGACACCGCGGCGGGTGCTGGGCAGGGCAGGGCATCTGCTCCCAGGGGCTCCCTGGCGCACTCTGCGAGGCAGGGCAGGTCCCCGCGCAGCTTGCCAGCCACCGGTGGCGAGGCCCCCGGACTTCTTGCACATCGTGCCTTGTTCCGTGGCCCCCGATCGTCTCCTCCCCCGCACCCTCCCCCTTCCTGCTCCTCCTCTTCCTCCTCCTCCTCCCCCTCCCCCTTCTCCTCCTCCCCTCCTCCTCCTCCTCCTCCTCCTCCTCCGCCTCATAACCATCAGCATCAGCATCAGCATCAGCATCAGCATCATCATCATCATCATCATCATCATCATCATCATCATCATCATCATCATCATCATCATCATCAGCATCAGCATCAGCATCAGCATCATCATCATGATCATCATCATCATCATCATCATCATCATCATCATCATCATCATCATCATCATCCTCATCCTCATCCTCATCCTCATCATCATCACCATCATCATCATCATCGTCGTCGTCGTCATCATCCCGCTGGACGGTCTCGCGCGCGTGGATCGGCCCTGGGCGTCGCACCGGCGCGCGCCCGCGATCGTCTGGACCCTCAAGCAAACCGCGGAGCAGGCGCCGCTGAAGGCCTCGGCCCCGCTCAACCGCGCGCTCTGCGCCACCGTCGCCAAGTACAAGCTTCTGGCTCTCGAGCGCGCGCGCGCGCGCCTGGCTGCCCCCGCCGCGCGCCCAGAAGTTCGCGCATGCCACGCTCAGGTCCCTCATTTCCCCTGCCAGCCCTGACGTCATGCTCCGCAAGCGCCTCCTGAAGCACTGGCCAGGCAGCGCCGGCACGTTCCGCGAGCTCGGCCTCGCGCGGCTCTTCCTCATCGCGCGCCGCTCGCACGTCCGCGTCGCGGGCGCCTGCCTGAAGACGCGGATGGGGTGGCTGGATGATCAGCGCACGGATATACGAGAGCGTCGTCCGTCGGTGCCTCTGCGGCTGCGACGCCCCCGACTCATGGGCACACTACGCTGACTGCAACGTCCTCTGGGGCATCATCTATTCCGTGTTCGGCAAGTTCCCGCCTGGCAGCCAGCCTCTTCGCCGACGAGCCCGAAGAGCTCTGGCCGATCCTCGTTAGTTCCGAGGTGCACACGCCAAAGCATTCTCAGCTTCCTGGAGTTATGCGGCCTCGCGCCGCCGCTGACTACGACGCGCTGGTCGCGCTCACTCACCGCCTCGCCTGCGCTGCCTTGCGGCTCGTCCGCTAGCCTCTTAATGCTGCCCTGGAAACCGATTATTTTCCTCTGAAAGGGGTGGTTTTTTCCGGTCAGGCAGTTGAGTGCGCGGAGCGGCGGTCGCCCCCAAGTCGCTACGAATATCATCATCAGCATCATCATCGTCATTGGCATCAGCATCAGCACCATCATCACCACCACCCTCACCATCATCATCGTCATCATCGTCGGCAGTATCACCACTACAATACCCACCATCATCATCAACACCATCATCATTATCACCACCGCCATCATCATCTCCCACACCATCATCCGCATCACTCCCATCATCATCATCATCATCATCATCATCATCATCATCATCATCATCATCATCATCATCATCACCATTATCACCCTGATCAGCACCATTCCCACTATCACAATCAGCTCGGACACCACTGCCATCAGCAACATCATTATCACGATCATTATCATCGTCCTCCTCATTACCACCAGCATCACCATCATCAGCATCCCCACCAGCACCATCACAATTGCTATCGTCACCATCCGCGTCATCATTGTGATCATTCGCCGGATCAGCATCTCTACCATCGTTTGCATTGCCAGCATTCACGCCGCCACCACCACCAATATCATTTTCAACATCCTCCGCGTGCACATCCTCCTCATCATCATCATCATCATCATCATCATCATCATCATCAGCAGCAGCAGCAGCAGCAGCATCATTCCCTACCTAGGCTCTGCCTAGAAGGGTTCTTACTCTCTTAGCTTAAAGGGGCCGGGCAGTGCAAAGCGCCCCGGGCGGTTCCCCCAGTCCCCTGGGAGCGGTTCCCCCCAGTCCCCTGAGAGCTTTAGCTTTAGCTTTAGCTTTAGCTTTAGCTTAGCTGTAGCTTAGCTTTAGCTTAGCGTTTCGCTTAGCGTTTCGTTTGGCT